CTTTGACCCAGTATTCACCTTCTGAAAATTTAATCCCCAAAGTCCCAGAATTCATGGTACATTCATACAATGAAATACCAGGCAGCCATTTAAAAAATGAGGTAAAGGTGTATGTGATTAACCTGGAAATAAGTCCACAATATAATTAGTTTAAAAAAGTATTAGAAAATATGATATTATACCATTTCTTTCCTAAATAATAAGTACACACACAAAGAAAATAAATCTAGAGGGTTACAGACTTCATTGTTCCTATTTCAGGAATAGGAAATCACTGGCTTTACCTTTCTACCTTATGTATTTCTGTATTGTCAGACTGTTTTTTTACAAAGTGTATATAACTTTTCTATTTAGAAAAAAGTGAAAATAGATCTCTCTTTAACCATGTGATTAATTAAGTCCCTAACACACATACAGATACACATAGTAAAATAAGCCTTTATATCACATCATTTTACAAGCTGCATTGTGTGACTATGTCATAATTTGTTTAAGCAATTTTCTATGATTAGATATTTAGGTTGTTTCCAAATTTTTACTACTATAAACAAAACTTAGATGGAAACCCTTGTGTTTAAATACTTTCACATTGTTTTAAATTATGCACTTAGAATAAATTCCTAGAAGTAGACTTCAGGCTCGAGATGTGAGCACAATTAAACACCTTTGACCCACATTGCAAAATCATCGCATAAAAAGTCAGTGCAAATTTACTTTCCCAGTTGCAATGTGGGGGAAGTCTTTTCCCTTCACCCAAGCCTCAATATTTCAATTTTTACCAATTTGGTAAGCAAAATGACACATCGTTATTTTCATTTGTATTTCCTTAATTACTAAGGAAAATAACCTCATTCACTTACTGGCTATTTGTTATTGTATAACCTGTTTGTTGATATCTCTTGCCCATGTTTCCACTAGAGTCTTTCTCTTGCTGGTTTGTAAGAGTTCTTTGTATAATATTAGTCCTTTGCCATTAAAGTTCATATATGTCATTTGCCTTTTAGTTTTGCTTAAAGATTTTTTTAATGTTCAAAAAATTTTAATTTTTATATACTTTCTCAACAGTAAAATACACTCATGATTCTAAATTACTGACTGTAAATGGGTATTTGAAATATAACCAGTTGTGTATCCATGATCTCATATACTGGCTACTTTATCATATGTTTTCATATCTTTTCTGCATGGAAGCTCCTTGACATTTCTTGAATCCCTCATAGCAACCAGCGCTTAGCCCAGAACACAGGAGAGCTCCAAATTGTCTGAGATTAAAAAAAAATAATGTGTCCGGGATTTGCTTTGAAGCAGTCCAGGTTGGGGTGGGGGATGAAAATGGAACAAGATGAAACAGAATCAGCCACATGTCCGTCATTGTCAAAGCTGGGTGATGGGTACATGGAATTCATTATACTATTATTTCTACTCTTTTGTATAGTTGAAAATTTCCATAATCAAAAGGATTTTTTTTTTTCAAAGACAGTCTGCTTGACTGATTGGTCCACAGCATCAGAGAGGGGACTTCTAGAATAACAATTGTAATAAACATGAATTCCATTTACACCAAGGCTCCCTCCGTAGCATAAAAAATTTAAGAGCACAGGCCTTGAAACTAGACTGGCTGGGTGCAAAGCCTTTCTAGTTTAGTGACCCTGGACCAGTTATTCAACCCCTCTGAAACTCAGGTTTCCAATATAAATAGGGTATTAATAACTACCGCAAAACATTCTACTGGAGATAAATGGATGTAAAACTCAGTGCCTATCACCAAGTCACCGTCATGACTATTTGGTGACACACAAGCTTGACAATCTTCACCCAACATTTCCTGGTGGGGGTGATCCAACACTTTTCCACCATAGCTGTGATTTCTGAATCAGCTCAGGCATCGCACAACTGCTTACAGAGAACTTGGTAGAACAGATGTCCGGAGTCACGTTCCTGATACCCAGAAGAGAAACCAGATAAGGCCACAGCAGAGAACAAAGACCACAGTCCCCCACATTACTCAACAGGTCGCCAAAGGGCATTAACTCCACATTCCAATGATGCAATCAAGAACAAGCAGGATGAAGCCCTGACAACAGTGGGCCATTTGCAACTCCTGACATCACCTGGGGAGCTTGAAACAATACAATGTCTGGGTCCCACTCCCAGAATTTGATTTAATGGCCTGGGATGTGGACTAGGTAGGTATTAAGGTTTTTAAAAATCAAATGCACCAACCGCTCTGCTGTGTGAGTTGGGTTGAAAGGGTCTGGATGGAAGACAACAAAGGAAAACAAAGAAGAAAACAGAGACCCACATGAACCCCACTAAAGCCAACCCAGTCATGTGATCCCAAGCTGTGCCCATGCCAGACAAACTTGGTCTCATTCGGGTCCCTTCACTGCCTCCACAAGCTTCAAGAGTGGGTTGCTGTATAATTCACGGGGCTAACATACGTTATTAACACCTAAATACATTTACATCAATATTATTAAGACTATTAAAGAAACCTAGCTGATCTCTGGGTTTTGGTCCTAAAAAAAAAAAGTCCAGCTAAGTGATAGTGGAGGCTGGGAGAGGGAGAAAAGCATTTGCCCCGTAGCCTTCTGGCAGCTCGTCACTACGACTGAAGTACACTCAAAGAGACAACCCCATTTTGTGAAGTTATTGCAGAGTCTTTGATCACAGGGAAAAGCACATCCATTTCAATCACTGTAACGGGGACCGGCCGGCTGTCTGGCCGCCTGGCAGCCCACTGGGCTGACCCACCTTGAGCCTGCAGACACATGGCAGTGCTTAGCGTGTCAAACAAATGAGGGGGTTCCTGACTATCTATCCAACCTTTGCTGAACTTCAGGGGCCCCCTCACTTAGCAATTCTGCCCTGACTAATCTGGAAGTTCCTCTCCCCAGCACACACCACCTGGCCTGGCCTGGCCTCGCCAAAACAAAAGCTGGCCAGCAGCTGTCTGTCACGAGGCAGCAAACACTTCAGAACCAGGAGGGCAGGGGTCAACCGTTCTCATAAGCAACACACTCAGGATTACACAAGCCTAGGGGAAGGGGAAAAAAGATTTTGCCTCCTCCCTATGACCTTTACCCCGTCTCAGCCTCAAACTCAGCTGAGAGAGGTCTGCTTTTTCCCCCCATACATGAATTCTCAAATTCGTGTACAGAGATCACCTACATTCTTTTCACTAGAACATATAATGAAGAAAATTGATAAGGGAGCACATTGATTTTCAAATTTGGGGAGGGTCAACAAAAGATTTTATTTTCCTTAAGTGGCATCATCCATAAAACCTGGGGAAGATATGAGAGGCAGAACCAGAGTAGATATGGGGATAATGGTGACAACCACAGATCTTTCCACAGCAGTGTACCTGCTTCAAGCGTACCACAGGCGTTACCTCATTTAACCCTCATCACAGCCTTATGAGGTAAGCTATAGTAATACTCATTAATGATTATAATAATAATGGTAGCATAATGCATGTGCTATAATAATAATTATGTATAATAATGGAGGTAATCTCCATTTTTCACATAAGGACACTATGACCCGGAGAAGTTCAGTGACTTGCCTGGGGGGTTGGAGCTGGGAGTCCTGCACAGGCAGTCTGGGCCCGGAATCAGTGTGCTAACCACGGCGCTAGCCGGCCTTCCGCCAGTCCGCGCTTCAGAGCCCCCTTTCAAGTTGCCAGCTCAGAGAACAGCAGAGAATGGAGGCCTCTGGAGCTAGAGGGAGCTGACTCTGCATCCCAGCCTGCCATTCTGTACCCCGCGGTGGTTGCATCCTCTGTAAACGGGGGTAATGGTACCTACCTCACAGGCTCGGGATGAGGCTTAAGTGAGAAAATGAATAGAAGCACCTCTCAGGATTACAGCCACGGTCAGTTTAATGCAGTGGCCCTGAGTCCTGGATGAATGTTTGAATCAGCTGGGAACTTTTAAAAAATATAAAGCCTGATCACTTCCCCACCACCCCTCCAACATTTCCTCCCAAACGGGCAGGTCAGTTTGAAATCAGTATTCCCCTGGGCCCAGCCTGGAGAGGAAACCTGAAACCCATGGGACCAAAGGCCAGCCCGTACCCTTTGCCCCACTGATTCAGAATTACAGGGAAGCTTTGAAACCTCTGAAGCCTTTGTTTCCATCCAACTCTGCTCTCTTCCGCAGAGGGAGCAGAGGCACCGGACCATGCTCGACCACGCGGCCAGCTCGCCCTTGTCCAGCAACCGTCCCCACTTTCATCCAACAGTGCCGTCGTCAGGCCTCCCGCCCCCCAAGCCGTGTCCCACCTCCAGCCTAACACCTTCCGAAGGAGCATCCTATTGTCTCTATTGTCCCATGCTGCCTGTGTTTTAGAAACAGCCTGTGCCAACAGACACATAGCCAGCGTTACCTTTACACAAAGCTCTAACCAGGGCAGGAGGAGAGGTGGGACTCCTGAAAAGAAATTTTAAAATCTGCGTGCACGCATGCACATGCGTGTGCATGCATGTCTGTGCACACACAGACACCATACTCCACACACACACCCCCACACACGGACTCCAAGAACCACAGCTCACTTTGTACTCAAAGGGATCCCTGCTTCATTTGAGGACTTGGGGGTAGGCAGAAGGGGAGCACAGAGGGGTAGCAATAAACAGTGTAGGGAATACCAGGGTTGCCCATGGAAACTGGCAAGGGTAAGAAAAAATAATCAGCCTCCATTTGACAGAAGAGAAAAATGGAGAGGGCCAGCAGGGAGGACGGGGACCATGCCACGCCAGTTTCCTGGCTCAGGCTCACATAGGCCTTTTCAGGCCCCACTGCCAGCTGGCAAGGGGAAGCGTGGAGGGTCCAGGAGGGGGGACGTAGGCACCAGAAGGTAGCATAGAGGGTGTCAAAGAGCCCTCAGCTGTTTCCCAGAAAGCCGAGGCTTGGAGCGGCCAGCCCGCGCTCAGCGCCCCCACCAACCCCTCGGCCTCAGGCCAGGAAACGGCCCGGGAGACGGGGCCAGGGCCTCACCTGGGTAAAGGAGCCATCCTCGCTGCACTCGGGGACAAACACCGCCTCCTGGGGCTTCTTGGCTTGCTCTAGGGCCTGAGCCCGCTCCAGGCGACACTTGCTCTGGCCGGCATCTAAAAGAGGAGAGCAGCGAGCACATTTCATACTTCACTTGGTTTCCACGCCCAGAGCCCCGGAACAAAATGGCTGCCCGGTTCTAAGAACGCGGAGAAAACCCTCCGCCCGTGGCCCACGGGGGAGCCCACACAGCTGGGGCGTTTCTAGCGACACAGAGGCAGTGGCTGGTGAGTGTCATCAGCCTCGTCTTCTTCAATGTTATTGTTAGGAGAGTAGAGGACTGAATTTATACCATGTTCTACTCATTTCTTCTCCCAGGTACCCCTACCTTATTCAGGAAAAACTTTTATTATTATTGTTTTTCACGGGGTTTATTAAAAAACATGCAAGCCCAAGGGGCCTCAAAGATGTTTTATAGTTCAAGAATGGCAAGCACTTTCTCTGGAAAATGAGAGACTCTAGAGTGGTCTGTTTAGCCTCCCATCATTGCCTTAATGGCTCTACACAGTCCAGAATCACCAATTCAAACGTGCAGGGGCGTCCAACCGTTGGGCCTCTCTGCGCCACGCTGGAAAAAGAGTTATCCTGGGTCACACATGAAATACACGGCGACACACAATCCCAAAAAAGTCTCATAATGTTTTAAGTAAATTTATAATTTTGAGTTGGGCCGCATTCACAGCCATCCTGAGCCGCATGCGGCCCGCGGGCCACGGGTTGGACACCCCTGAAAGGGTGCAGGAAAGTGATATAAATTAGAGAAGCAAACTGGGTATGCCAAGGATGGCATTCAGCTTGAGGACACCATATGGAACGCTGAGGACTGTGACAAACTGGAGAACATGTTGCCCTTTAAAGGAGGAAGCTGTTACTCCGCTCTAGCCACGTGGTGCTTTGTGGGAGGAAACACAGGCCTAACATTCTCAAAGCTTCCAATTTTTTATGAGAAATACAAACATCCAGATTTTTATGATGAATCTTCCAATTTTTAAATGTCTCAAATGTTTTCAAATATTTTTAAACATGTAAGCAGACAAAAAGGACATATCTTTTGACCAACAACTTGGAACCCCTATTTATAAGCCAGCAATAACGCCTTGCCATTATAAGCATCTCCATTTATAAAATAATAAAAATAAAAATAAATAGGACTAGCTACACAGCAGCGCATCTCTCTAAGCCTGAGGCTGGTGACAGCGTTTGAAAGACAGAAAAGTGCTCATTCTTTCACGTAGACCAGTTCTCCTCCTATTCCCTGATAGAAAGGGAGGGGTGATAGATAACAAACCGAATAAACAGACTCATTCTGGGTTCCCTCCACAGGGAGTGCGCTGTGCAGGAAGCTGTGGTGCTCAGGCACGTCTCCTGGATGGGACGGAGGTGCACACACTCACCTTTGCATCGACCTCGATGTACCACACCCAGGGCTGGGTCTCTGCACTTGGCTCGCTGGTACTCACACATGGACTCATAGGACCTGCCGTCGGAGGCACAGATGGGTTTGGGTTGAGTCCTGGAGCAATGGAGGTTGCATTGAGGGTCACGGTCACTTATAAGAAACTAAAGTGAAAAAAGTAAAAGAGTATAGAGGTTACTCTTGCAAGAAAACCGGGGGCGAGTCCATGACTTACGATACCGGTTTGCTTGAGCAAGTCCAGAATAAATCCAAAGTTATTCAACCCTAGAAGTGGAAAGGAACTGAGCAGCCACAACATCTAACCAAGGAAGGCATTTGTGCTAAGTAGTCCACATGTAGGATCTATCTCATTAATTCTCACAACTGTATGAAATAGAAACCATCTATTTTTCATATTAAAAAAACATCAAGCTTAGAGAGAAGTAATTTGCCCAGTGTTACATAGCTGTAAGTGCTGAATTTGAACCAAGATTGGCCAGAAGTCAAATCAAAGCTCTTACCACGGAGATGTTCCACCCTTCCACCCATGAAGATGATCACGAGTCCTCTCTTTTGGTTCCTCCCCAAATTAGGCACTCCCTAGCACTCTCTAAATTCCATCTTGAAAAGTTTTATTCATTAGAAAGTAATATCAAGCCCCAAATCTGTTGTCCTTGAGTGGTGTCTCACAGCCTTTGGGTGTTCCGGCCTGGGGGGCCTGCTCGCTAGCCTCAGCACTTACAGCTCTGTCCCCCAACCCTTGCTTGCTGCTGGTCAGGCATTCCAACTTGCTTTTTCCCCAGAGGAGCCACATTTGTTCCACCTCCAGGCCTTTGGACACAGCTCCTCTCCCATCCCTCCCACCCCCACTTCAGACTGTGGCTCACGTCATCTCTGGGAGGCTTCCTCTGACTCCCCCAGGTGAGCCTAGGTCCCCCTGTAATAGCCTCTCATACCCCACTTTTCCTTCGTGGCTCGTAACACAGTTTGTCTTGATGAATTGATTTGTGTGCTTTGACTAACAATGGAAGCCCCAAGTCGGAGCCCCGCGAAGACAAGAAAAATGTCTATTCTGCCTGTGAACACATCCCCAGCATCCAGCCCAGTGCAATTCTTTGTGCAAGGAATGCATCCCTGCCGTGGCATTTCCCACACAGCACCGCCTCAGAACCAGCTGGTGCTGATGTGACAGGCCTGGCCTCCCAGGCTCCTGCCACCCCAGGGATCCCTGGGCCTCTTCTCCACCCCCCTGCTCTGAGCTATCCCCCTCCTTTCTGAATTACATGATGAGCGGCAGGGGTCCTCAGCTTCCTGCCCTAGCTCTGCCTCTGAACATAAGCCATCTCTGAGGCTGAGAGGTCTGTGTCTCCCACCCCATCCCCCGGCGCCTCTGCCTCTGCAGCCCTCCCGGCCTACAACCGACAGTGACCAGGGAGAGCTTGGGACCCAGAGTCCCAGCTGAATGCTGCAGGCTTGCCAAGCCCTGGCTGAGGCTCCTGGATGGGCACGGGACATGGGTTGCTGCAAACAGCAAAGCCAGCCTCTCTTTCTCCCTCAGCATGACTCCCTCAGAGCCATTCCTGATCTGGCTGCCACCTAGAAATGCAGCCAGACCTGGCTCTGTGACTCTCCCTGGTGAGCAGCAGACACCAGGCCAGATGGTAGGACCAGTGTCCTCATGCGCAAGGCCGGCCAAGAGCAGGTTAAGGCACTGTTGTCGTCACACGGCTCTCATCTTGTCCGTGGAAATCACAGCTACTTATGTGGACTAACACCCTGATTTTTAAGACCTATTTGTTAGGTTATTTTCCATGAGAATCAGCAGGAGTCAACTGAAAGAACGGCATGCCCTCTGTTTTCATGATCACACAAGGATGGAAATATCTCCCTTCTAATGCCTGGTAAAACTGAGGAATTCATCCTCGGTCACAGAGGGATCTGGGAGCCAAGCCTACAGAATAATAATAATAGGAGCTGAGAATTAGATATCATTTATGATAGGCTGACAATTTAATCTTCATAATAACCCTATGAGGCAGGGTATGTTACGATCTTCATTTTACAGATGAAAAGACTAAAGCCCAGAGGAGTCAAGCAACTCTTCCGAGATTAAACAGCATGTACATGGCCATGTTGGGATTGCTACCCATGGCCTGGCCCCAGAGCCATGGTCCTAAGCTCTAACTCACACTGCCTTCATTCATACAGAGTAACACTGCAAACAAACGACTCCCACCCCACTGCAAAACTGATTCACAAAGTCAAAAACTGTTCACCAGGAGCCTACTGTGTGCCAGGTACTAACTGCTGAAGATCTAGATAAGATAGCCCTGTCTACTTTAAGCCTACTGTGAGAAGCGCCTCATAGGAGTTTTGTTAAACACACACACACACACACACACACACACACACACACACACACACAGAGGGATCAAGAAAGACATTTCCTTTTCAAACTCAAGGAGGCTACCCTGTTGTCTCCTCCTCAGCTCACAGGGGACAACAGCTGCAGGCATCATCGAGGCATTGAACTGCACGCCATAAATTTGGTTTGGAAATGGCTTTTTCTGGGCCAACAGAAATGCCACAGCAGCTGTGCCAGAGACCTGCTTAATAACTTGGAGAACACTCTGTCTACAATAGACAGGTTAAAGAGCTTCAGAAGAAGCCCCACCTACCCCAACACATGGAAGCCTTCCGGCTTCAGAAGAGCTCCCAAAATGTTCTGTCTAGAAATTACTGATCCCTGAGGCCAAGTAAAAAAGTTCCGAGACAGCACAACGCCCTTGCTAGAGACCATCTTCAATCATCTATGTTGTCTCATTTTCATCTGTTTTAGGGACTGTGTGTGTTTGTGATTGTTAAAAAAAAAAAAAAAGCAATGAGTTCTATAAAATGGAGTTTTGATAGGATGACTACATTCTAATAGGGCCATCGGAACCTCCCAGGCCCCAAGGTGATCACTATGGGTCCACAAGCACTGCTTGTTCAGCCACCACGCATTCTTCTACTTTTGTCCTCAACAAGTGAGCACTGTGACGAGCCCAGCACTGGAGGAGGCATGGGAAGCAGAACAAAACCAACGTGGCCTTGCCCTCAATGAGCCTGCTGTCTGGGGTCAATACACAAGCAAGATGACACTGTAAGGGAGCAAGGCACTGCAGGACAAGAGAAGGTTTAATCCTAGGGTCTCTGCAATGCTACAAGCCACACGGTCCCGCAGAACTTTCTGCAGTGATGGATGTGTTCTACATCTGGGCTGTCCAATATGGCTGACACCAGCCACATATAGCTATTGAGAACTAAAATATAGTTAATGCAATTAAGGAATGAAATTTTTAGTTGCATTTAATTTTGGTTAACTTAAATTTGCATAGCCCTATGTGACTGGTGGTTACTATATTCAAGAGCGCAGTTAGAGAGGAGGAGGGAGAGAGGTTCACCCTCACTGGAATTTATCCTTGTTGAGCTGAGCTCAGACAGACCAAGGGGAAAAAAAGAAGCAGATTCTGAGGATAATTTCCACATTCCAAAACTGGACATGAAATCAGTTCATTACTTATAGGTCAACAGCAGGACATCCCAGGAGTTCATCACAGTCCACCTGAAGTCACAAGGGTGGAATTCTTTCCTCTCTTCTGCAGGAGAGCGGAGGCACAGGCTAAAAGTCTCCAGCACCAGCCTATGGCCTGGGTCAGTTCTCTCAGCACATGGACAAAACTCAGGGTCTGAGTCACCCTCTGAGACCTGAACCTCTGAGCCACAGAAGTCTGTTGTGGGCTCAAGAGCAACCACGGTTAGCGGAAATTTTTGGTGTTGGGCAGAGGCAAGCTGTCTCCCCAGTGAGGCAAACATTGAACCATTTCCCTCTGGGGAAAAATAGTATTTTCATAAAAATCCTCACATACATTCCCTTCCTTCTTCCTAACCAAAAGACAACAAAAAACAAAATAATTATGTTAAATATGATTACGTAATAAGGAAACCAAACAAAAGGGGCCGGGACAATTGTGCATTTGCAATCTTCTCCCGCCCTCTCTCCTTGGGGAGTGAATGGTTCCAAAGCAAACACACGACATTTTGTGGTCTGCTCACATTTGTAAAGTAGGACAAGCACTTGAAATACATATAAACAATCCAGCCTTCCTACTGGAAGAGTAAGCTACCAACAGGGGCATTCTTCACCATAGAAGAGATGGGGTGAAGGAAATCAACGATAGACCGACAATCCCTCTGTCTGAAACTTGGGCGCGCTGACCCTGGCTCTGCAGTCTCCCCGCAGAGTAGAATGCAAACTTTGCCACAGCTTTTGCTCAGAGAGACCACTTCAGTACCACAAGCTGTGTTAGGTTTGACTGACTGCCAAGTTTCCATGACAATATAGGGAACAACAGAGGAAGCCTAAGGTCCCATCTGGGAGGTGTTTGATTCTTTACGATATGGGGTTGGTTTCATGGTCTTAACTTCCACTTGTACCGTGCTGACTTAACCTGTACGTAATACTGTACACAGGTATTTTTCTGGTATCATGTGTTATCTCTGCATGTTCCCCAGGTGTAGACGAGGGATAGGAACCATACCAAACAACCAGTGCAGTGCCCCGTCTACTGGATTTGGAAGTGAGACGTCCACAATTTGGGGCAGCAAGCAGCCTTCCCTTTTATTATATAAGACTCAAAAATCACAGGCCAAGTGCAACTAATCTGAGGGTATTTTTGTTAATAAACCCATGTGTAACACAGCTTCAGTTACTCTTGACATTTTTGCTTCACTTATCTATTGCTATAAAACAGACCACCCCCAACCTTGGTGGCTTCAAACAATGACTTATGATTTCTCTCAATTCTGTGGGTTGGCTGGGCTCAGCTGGGAGCCTCTTCAGCTCCATGTGGTGTCAGCTGAGTAACACATCTGGCAGCATTCAGCTGTGAGCTCTGCTAGGGCCAAAACATCCACCAGGACGTCATTCTCAGTGTCTCAGCTGGAGTGGCTGAAATGGATGGGAGTCTAGCAGGACCTCTCTCTCCAGCTGGCTTTCCTCTTATCCATGATGCCTTTATTCAGTCCTTTATCTCTTGCCTAGATGTGTGACTTTTTGCCCTCAACCTTTCTTCCCCATTCAAGTTCAAATTCCATAGTTTCTGAGGTTATGGCCCTAAAAAGC